AAACACAGTCTTCCTCTTATAAAAAGAAAGGGGAATCACCCAAGTTATAGGAAAAAGTTCTTTGACTGTTATCACAATCGTTTGGCTGAGAACCTGGAGGGCAAGGGCTCACTGGGCAAGAGGAGAAGTGTATTTTGTGCAGGTCCTGGTCTGTCCAGCTGGGCCCGGGCTGCCCCCCCCCGCCCCCCACGGGGGCCAGCCCCGTCCTGGGCCATCCCTGGTTTTTCGCTGGTGGACGGGCAAGGTCCAGGACCCACTGGCCGCCGTTTGGACACAATTCTGTTTGCACCACGTTTCTGGGCCTGGGGTTTTCCATCTGTGAGTTCCCTTCCGAGGCTGCAGGGTTGTTCACTTTACTTTTCGTTTGTTTGTGGTGGTGGCTATTTTTAGTCCTGCGGCTCCATCAGGGGCCTGGAGCTCGGGGGAGAGGGACCGAATGCGAGGAGGCTGGGCCTGTCCCACCGCCCGCCGGGACGGGCTGGTTTTCATCCTCACAACCCGAGATTCCTAAAACAGCCAAACAGCAGAGCCCCCGGGGCCACCCAACTCTGGCCCCAGCTTGCGTCTACGGGCAGGGGCGTGCGGTTTGGGTTTTGTCTCCCCTGTGTGCCCACGTGCAGGGCTAGGCTGCGCTGTGAGTAGTGAGCGTGCTCATTGCATCGCTGCTGACGATGGTGAAGAAGACAGAGGCGGTGTAGAGAGACATGGGGCATTCTACCCGCAGGGCAGGGTGGCCGGGGCTCTGGCCGGGGCAGATGGTCCAGCTTGCACCACAGCTGCCGTGAGGCCCGGGGACACCCCCAGCACAAACCTGGAGCCCCTGTCCTGGGCGCCCAGAGGAAGGCCAGCAGGAACAGCAGGGGGCCCTTCCTGAGGGGCCCGACTCTGGCCCCCAGCGAGGCTTACGGGTGTCTGAGGCTCTGCGCTGCCGTGACCATGGGACCCCATCGTCACCAGGTACTTGGGAGAGGGGTGTGGGTCCGGAGAAGAAGGCCATCTATTTGGCTCTGACTTATATTTCTTTTTCCTTTGCAATTTTCCCTTCTTTATTACCGAAGCACTGAGAACACGGAACATTCTGGAAGGAAAAAGAGTTCTCGGTAATCTTACCACCAAGACAGTATCACTGAGGCAGGGTTAGGCATTTTGGTGTATTTCTTCCCAGACTCTGTGTAAGCATCAAGCTATTTTACACAATTAAAAAAAATTTTTTTAATGTTTATTTATTCTTAGGTGGGGGGTGGGAAGAGACAGAGAGAGAGGGAGACACAGGATCGGAAGCAGGCTCCAGGCTCCGAGCTGTCAGCACAGAGCCCAACGCGGGGCCAGAACCTGCGAGATCATGACCTGGGCTGAAGTCAGATGCTTAACTGATTGAGCCCCACAGGCGCCCCAATTTTACACAAGTTTGCACACATTTTATACTGCAAGCACTGTCTTCTCACTTCCCCAGTGAAGAGACCACATGCAGTTGGGGTGAAAGCCCTGTGGGGTCCCGGGGGGCCAGGCAGTGGAGGGGAGGGGAGGGATTCGAGGCTCCAGGGCAGGAGTGTTTCTCGCTGAGGACATGTGCCACACAAGCCCCAGAGCCCAGGTGTTAGTTATGATCCCGTTTTACAGACAAAAAAGCTGATGCGGTGCCAGGCCAGGCAGCGCCCCATGTGGGTGGGAGAACAGGGGTGTTTGCCCCTGCGGCCTGTGTGCACCCCCCCCTTTCTTGCACGGCTGCTCAGCGGCTGTACTGGGCATTTCCTGCTCTCTTGTGTGGGGGGCTGTGGCCTCTGGGGTGGCCTGTTCCGGGCTCTGTGGGGGAGGGCAGCCCTGGGAGACCCTTCCCAGGCCAGGCCCCCACCCGGCGCCCATGCGGGAGAGCAGCTCATGGGCTGCGGGCCGCAGGGCCCACCTGTGTCCACCTCCTCTGCCTCCAGCCCTTGTCCGTGGCTCCTGCTCCTGAGTCAGTTCCGGTGGGGACACGGCTGCTTGTCACCTCAACTCTGGGTTCCCTAGCAGGAGGCGGCCCCACAGCGGCCGGCTGACAGGAGGCAGGCGGAGATGGCCCCTGGGTCAGCCCTTAGCACCAGCGCAGCGACTGTGAGGCCGTCTTCTGACCTGTGACGCAGGCAGGGCCTGGCGGACATGCCTGTGAGCATCAGCTCTGACGTTTAGTACCTGATTATGGTTGGTACCAGCTGAGCTCACTTTTCAGTGCCAACCATTGGTTAAGAAGCGCCCCAAAAAACGTCTGCAGCTCAGTCTAGAAAATCACCCTGAGGAAGGTTGGGGATGGACAGACTGACAGACCAGGTGCCTGGGCTCCCTTCTGCCCGTCCTGGCTGAGGATGAATATTAACCAAGCTCTTTTTGGAGAGCACATCTCTTCTGCCCCCCCCCCCAGCTCCTGGGGGTGGGTGTAATTTTAAGAGTGGGGGGGCCACCAGATGCCTGGAAAGTGGCTGCCCCGTCTGGGCCGGGGGAGGGGTGTGTGCAGGAAACAGGCTGCGATTCACACTGCTGGGTCCTCCGAGCTCCCTTCCTCGGGACGTCAGAAACGACGCGTTCCCCACGCTGGAGGTCAGATGGCTCACGGGACTACACAGATGGAAGCCGGCGGCAGTCGTATTCCAGGTCCCCCTCTGTGCATGGTACTCGAGACCCCGGGACCCCCATAAAAACCTCCCACAGACGAGTCAAGGCCGGAACCTGAGTTTGTCCCGTCTAGCCTGATGGTATCCTCGTGGCTGCAGGAGCACTGGGAGGGGGGATTGGGCCGCGTGGTCACTGTGGCTGAGGCCACAGATACCAGCCTCCTCGAGCACGCCGGGTGGACGGCCAGCCCGTTTCCCTTCTGTCTCCCTCACCAGGGACAGGATCCATCCTTCAGCAGAGGCGGGTGGTGAGGCCCCGTGGAGGCGGGAGGCTGCCCAGGCCAACCACCCCCTTGGAGTCCACACCTCTGTGCCAGGTTTGTGGACTCGTGAGCGGCCTCGGCGGGCAGGGCCGGGATCCTCCCGCTAATCCCGGTTGACAGGCTGACATCCGCTGTACACTGGCTGCAGCCAACTGCAAGCGGAAAGCAGGATTGGGGTTTATTTACGGTGATCCCGTCACTGCACTCTGTGCGGTGGGACGTTGGTGTAAAAATAAAAAATAAATGGCAACACGGTTGAAGTTAGCCTGGCCCTGACCCAGCCCAAGGGGGCCCCGAGCGGGATGTCGAGATTGCTGTGCATTGGTGGGATTTTTTTGTTTTGTTTTGAATTTTTCTGCTTTCTGAAAATCCTGTCCCAGGAAATACCAAACAGGAAGAGAGCAGGCGAAGGAAAATTCCTTCTGTCACTTCAGCAATGATAGACTTCTGGTTGTAGAGTCGTTCTAGGCTTGCAGAGAAACCGCGCGGAAAGCCGGGGTCCCCATCTCCGTCCTGCCCCCACCCCAGCTTTCTGGGTTCCCGACGCGGCACGTGGGCACGGCACCATCAGGGAAAGCCTGTACTTTACGTGAGGGTCACTCCTGGCGGTGGACATCCTGGGGGTTTTGTCAAATGTATGATGTCACATATGCGCCAGCGCAGGGTCATACAGAAGAGTCTGCGCTAAAACCCCCACAGCGATGAAATGTTAGAGGGACTTTTAGAGAAAAAGGCTGTCCTCACTAACAGGACCAGAAAAGCCAGCAGGGGCCAGAGCGTGGTCCTGGGAGGGGCGAGGAGGATGCGGGTGTGCAAATGCACACATGATGCTGGTGAACACACTTAGTTTATACTGAAAAAGAAAGGCACAAAAGGGCGCCTGGGGGCCTCAGTTGTCGGTTAAGCCTCCAACTTCAGCTCAGGTCACCATCTCACAGTTTGTGGGTTCGAGCCCCGCGTCGGGCTCTGTGCTGACAGCTCGGAGACTGGAGCTGCTTCGGATTCTGTGTGTGTGTCTCTCTCTGACCCTCCCCCACTTGTGCTCTGTCTCTTTCTCTCTCTCAAAAATAAACAAACATAAAAAAATTTTTTAAAAAGTAAGGCACGGCCTTGGGGAGCGTGTACCAGCCCACTGGGTCGGCCTCCATCTTCCTCTTGGCTTTAGGAGGGTGATTTTGGGGGGGGGTGCTGGGCTTGCTGATTCTGGTCCATGGAACATTTGCTGACAACAGGCTGCCACGTGGGTGACGGTGCCACGAGGCCTCTCTGACCTGGGAACCCGACAGGAGACCGCGTTCCCTCCTTGCGTGTCCTTGCTGACACGTATCGTCCCCGCCACGCCCGCCCTGTGTGAGCACACACCCGCCAGCAGCCTTTGCCTCTGGGACCCAGAGACCTTGTTTTCTGGGTGTTCGAGCGAAATGAGCTGGGGGGGCCTGGCCACGTCCCCTGAGCAAAGCGTGTTCTCAGGTCCCCACGGCGGTGGCCCACCGACCTGGCCCCTCGCCGCTGTGGCATGTCTTTTGGGATTGGCGGGAAGCCTGGCTTTGCGCTGCTTCTTCCTAAACTAGAGTCTCCCAGCCCCCAGTTCCCAGGTCGAGGGCCCCTGAAGGTATTTGTGGATAACGGACACCTTGTCACGTCTGCATGCGCTTGACTTATTTGCTGTAATTCTTTCTTAGATTTCTCTTCCGCGAGGTGGGTGCTCAGATTCCTGGAAGCTGATGGCATTCCTTTCCCACCCAGGGTCGGGCAGGGTCACTCTCCGGAACCCCTGTCTGCCCCAGGGAGTTCCCTCTGCCCGTTTCCCTTCTCGCGCTCCCGGGCTTTGGCGTTAGCTGAGGTGAAAAAGTTCAGATTTATAATTCGTCCCACGGAACGTGAGAACAAGGCGTCCTGGACGGCTGTGGCCCGTGGCCGGCCAGTCTGCTGAAGGCCAGCATCGGGAACGCGGGTCTGTGGGAACTGCCGTCGTCCGCCAGAATGGCTCTAAATATAGTAAACGTAGGTTAACTTCCTATGCTTCCTGCGTTTATTCTTCTAGCTGAAATTTCCCTGACTTTTCTTTTCCTTTTCATTTTATTAGGTTAATAAAACTCGGTTTTTTGAGCATTTCGCCGCCCCAGGAGGGCCATGGGCCCCTGTCCAATTCATCAAGTGCCTAATGAGCGGCCCCACAGGTCCTGGCCCATCCATTCCAGAAGCTCTCTCCGCCTTGTAAAGGTGAGGCCCACGGGCTGCACTGGGTATTTTGTCTGTTGGTTTCCCAAATTCTCCTGCCGGCCGGCCTGTCACTTCTAGGGATTTATATGAGGCCGCGCACCACGGGCACCCCCCGTCTGCAGGAGGACCCCTCCTTTGCCTGCTCCTCACACGCACCACACTCTTCATGCCATAAAGTAACGTTTCTGTAATAAAATGGAGTGGAAATGTGTCGATGCTAGCATTTTAGAACATTCCAGCACCAGGGCTGTGGGAAAGCCTTTTGTTTACATCAAGGATAGAAGCTCTGTGAGAGTCGGAGGTGAAACAGTGTAAAACAAGAAGGCTTTTAGTAAGAGGACATAGTCTGGGCTTTAAATAAATGACACAGAGAAGGTGTGCGTGTGTGTGTGTGCACAGCCCGCATGCTGTTTTTACACACGTGTTGCTGCCACCCCTGGTTTATTGTTCACGTTTCAGAGAAAGACCAGTGGAAGAGTGAATGGACACTGCCTGCGTTCCAGCCACGGGTCTGGACTCTGCCCTTCTAGAACATTCTTCCTCTTCCTCCCCCTGCAGGCTCTCTTGCCTTCGCCAGCCCGTCAGGATGCTGCCGGCTCCGGGCGAGGGGCTGGTCCGCCCCAGCGTGGTGGCCGAGCTGGGATCTGAGCGCTCGGGCTCTGGGACAGGTCAGCCTGGCAGCCTGGGGACTGGAGACCCGGCTGTGGGAGGCATGAGGGCGGGGCGGCCCCAGGGCTGTGGGGGCCTCGGCCAGAGGGCCCGACCGTGCTCCCCACGCGGACTTGTCGGTGTTTGCCCTTGGCGCCCCAGCTCCCCTTGTCGGGTTTGAGCTTCCAGTGAACGCAAGGTCTCTAATGAACTACACTCTCAAGGGCGTGCACGAGCACTAGTAAATTCCTCCTACGCCCGTAACTCTCTTCCCTCCCTCCCAGCCGCCCACCTGGAGCCCAGAAGAGGAAGGAGAACGGGAGGCTGTGCTTGCCGGGCGCGCGGCCCAGGGAAACAGAGGAGCTGTGTCAGACCACTTCTCGGGATGCCTCTGCGTTGTGTCACCCCCCGGCCCCGACACCAGCTGACGGACCTCATCCACACGGTCGGCTGGGACGTGGGGACTTCTTGTAACACCTGGTACGTGGGCAGTGGCGAGGAGGCCGTCCCTCTTCTTTGGTCTCTGTGCATTCGCGGAGGAGGGCTCAGGAGGGTCTCCAAGGTCAAGGGGAACATCCATGGGAGACGGGCATCACCGGCACCTCCATTCTCCGACGCAGGGAAGACAAACCGTGTGGCTCTTGGCAGTGGCCCCGAGTGTCCTCGTGTCCTGGAATGTGTGCCCAGCTGTGGCTCCTCCCGGTTCCTGGTGGCCGTGTGTCAGTGGCTCAGAGTCCACACGGAGGCCATCAGTGGCCGTTCTGATGGGGCTTCGAGGGAGTGGGCCTGGCTCACGCCTGCCCCTTAAAGCCTCTCAGCCGAGGGCCGGCCTTGCTCAGCTCCCCGTGGCCCGTCAAGGAGCCTAGAGCCGGGCTCTGGGGCAGCGTTTCCCACAGCGGCTGGCCTCCCCCCGCCGCCCTCTTACTGTGCACTCCCTGGGCACTCGGTGATCCGACATCCACTTGGAAGGGGTTTTGTTTTGTTTTGTTTGCCCCGCTTGATACCCTGGAATGCAGTGGCCGTTTGTCTCTCTACGGAAGGGTTTCCCGTTACCCTGTGTGCTTGGAGGGGGACCTGGGCCCAGCCGCCAAGGTGGCGCACGCGGTTCCCATCACGGGCCTACTTCTGTCTTCCCTGCCCCAGGGACGCGGCCCCGTTCGCCCCTCTCTCTGTACCGAGTCCCCCCAGCAGCGCCCCGCCCCCCGGGCTGGCCCACCTCCCCTTCTCTGAGTGAAAGGAACGTGCATGCCTGGGCCATCTGTTTGTTTAAACTCACCCCGTGCGAGTCCATGTTAAATGCAACAGAATGGAGAAAAATGTCATTCTCTGTCGGCCTCTGATCAAAGAGAGGGCTTAAAAAAAAATTCAAGATGGATTTCTGAAGGACAATGTTGTACACATTCCTTGTGTTTCCAAGCTGCGGTGTTTAGTTGATCTGGGGGGAAAATCTCCCCCCCCCCCCTTTTGATCCCAGGGAGAAAACACTCACACAAACACTGCGAGACGGGCCCTTGTCTGTAGCCTCCCCGCCTGGCTGGCGGCCGGAAGGTGCCGGCTTCTCATTTATCAACAGCACAAGAGAATTTGGAACACGACTCACTGTAGCATATGCAGACCCTTTCCTCCTCCTGCGGGAATTCAGGGCGAGGTCACTGTCGTCTGGGGGGACCTGGGACCCAGGATGCTCTCCCCGAGCCCGGAAACTCCGGGCCGGCTCGCCCCGCTGCCTCCTTCGGCCCAGCCACTAAGAGTACATTTCTCCCTCACTCCTTCAGCTGCAGGAGCAAATGCAAATAAAAAGCACTTAAAATGGTTAACATTTCCTGTCACTGAAGGCATTCGTTAGGGGTGGGGGTCGCTGAGTTTTAAGTGTATTTTCATAGGAAAACTCATTTCAGATCTGCGGCAGGAACGCGGACGACTCACACGGCGGGCCGCGGGGTTTGTCGGGAGCCCGAGCCCCGAGCCAGCCGGGTGACCCTCATGTCATGGGGGTGCAGCAGAGCAAATTCCCAGCCTCACACCGAGGCCAACCTGGGGCCCAGCTCCGGCCACAGGAAAAAATAAAATAGGCTCTTTCCCACCCCCTCTCGCCTTTACTCACTCTCTTTTCTTTTACTGGAGAAACTCCTTCCCCCCCAATTTTGGTAATTTATTTTGTTGTGTTTCCTCTATTGATTGTTTAGCTCGTGATTTTGCCAACTTCCTGGATGTTCATTTCTGGTTCTGCACAAAGAGCCACATTTCCTTTTGGAACCGGGACCGGGAGACAGACAGCAGCAGATACTGGAAATTGTGAGTACTCCCCGATCTTCCCCCAGCGGCTCTCTGACCCTGTCTGTCCGTCCGTCCGTCCGTCCTGCCTGCCTTTCTTTCTCTACCAGCTCGCTGTCTGCAGGGCTTCTCCGGGAAGCCCTCTGGCAGCCCTCGGCACCACTCTGGCTTTGGGGAAAGGAGCCGCTACAGTTTCTGCACGGACATCGATGGGGAGGGGAGGGGAGTGTGCTCACCGACTGTGGGACTCCAGTTTTCATTTTGAGGCCCCGAAAGATGGCGAAAGTAAACAGAAGGAGGCTGGCTTATTTCAGGGCGAACAGTGAGTCCCCACTGAATTGACCTAATAAAATGAATTTTAAAATTTTCATTTTCTCATTTCGTTCCAGCAGAAAATGAGCTTGCCTTTATAATGTCCAGATCTTTCAAACTCTGAGTGAGAAATTAAGTTACTAAATGTAAATACTTTAGTATATGCACACATGTGTATGTATGTATGAAATGACTGTATATATATGAAATGAAGTAATCCCTGACGGTAATGCAATAGCTAGCCTGACTTTAGGCTCCTAGGACACTTAAAAATTTTTTTATGATGTGCAATGAAGAAAAATAAGATTCAGTAAAAATGTTTCTCTTTAAAAATGGGTGCTTTGTGATACTTAATAAATTTAATTGTAATTTTTATTGAATGTAAGTTGCTTATTTTTTAAAATCTTCTGAACACCTTTGTGAAATGCTGAGAGGATTGTAAAAAAAAAAGTTAATATTCTAGGCCACAACTGACTTCTGTCCACGAAATGATTCCAGGGAGTATGGACAATTTTGAAAGGACGCAGTTCTCTGATGGAAAGAATACTCCGTGTTTAATTACCAAGAGAAAGCAATTAATGCTCAAATTTCAAGGCCAATCCAGCCATCAGTTAGGAGCAGGGAGAAGGAGAAAAACAAGCCGGTTATTTGCCTAATAAAATCCAAAACTCGACATCATTCAGATGAATAATCGGAATGTGATTATATTTATAAGGAAAAGTTACATAAACTTCAAAAATGGTAGTTGTTTTGCTTACGTGCCTGGAAAAGGGATTCAGAATAATATTTGGGTTATCCTAGTTTTGTGCGCTCGCGTTCATGAAGGCTTCTCAGGTTAAAGAACCCCAGGGCCGGTGTAAGCACGGGCGTGTGTGCGCGTGTGCATGCCCCTTCCCCTCCCGCCCAGGGGAGTATGGGGACAAAAAGGTGGGTGCCGACCGCTGGGAAAATAAACCTTCACCCCAGAAATTCATAACTCATCTAAAACTCTTAGAAATTAAACATAGCCACGTTCTCACTCTCTTTCACCTCCTCGTTACGGGGGAGGGCAAAGGGCTGGAGCGTTTTTGAAATTGCTGCAGACCAGAGGTGCGTCCAAAGGCTGTGGCCACATTCCTGTGCGTCCACCTGGAGTGTCCCGTCCTCACCCTCCTGGCTGTGAAGCTACAGCGCAGATCATCCAGCAACTGAACACGGTTTTGAAGCTTTCTAATCGGATTGCCAGATCACAAACCTCAGCCTTCTGGAGCAGGCTCCCTGCTTCCCAGCAGGTGGCGCTGTGACTTCTGGACTGGCCTGTGCGGGTGGGGGCGGGGAAGATGCCGAGATTCAGCCCGAAATCCCATCAGGTCCCCCTTCATCTCCCCTGGGGTGCATCCAGTCAGCGATAAACGTAAGAAGTAAACAGTTTTTGAGGCCTCACTTGAAACGCACCAAGCTGTCAAAGTATTTGAAGTATTTAAGCCAAATGTTAATTAGCAAATGTGTCGCCCTCCTCAAGTGGGCCGTGACGGCGCCCAGCTAGCATTCAAAGAAATATTTCCTGGGGACGTTCAAGATAAAAATGGAAGAAGCTCAGCAGCTATTTCAAGATCTGATCTCTGGCCTGTTTATGTTTTAGAGGGAAAAATACCCTTACGATACTCCTATAATAACCACAAAAAATGAGGCGTGTACAGATAGAGGATCGGAGTCTCACCTTCTCAAGAAAGGCTTTTCCATGCGTGCGGGAGCACATCCCCGGGACTGTGCATTTATTCCCTCGGCACCTGCTGAAGTGGTGCAACCCGAGTGATCTCAGGATGGCCATGTCCTCCTCTTCCACCGGGAAAGTAGCTACTTTATTTCAAAAGTCAACAAATACTTTTCCATCCCCTTCTCTTGCTAGGGAGAGTCCCGAAGCACAATGAGCACATCCTTCAACATGTTTAATGTAAAACTTGAGACAATTTTGGATGATTTTAATGTTTCAGTTCTTCACTCACAGGACAACAGGATTCCTTAATCTGTTTTAGGTAATAATTTGCCACATTGCTTTTTTAATTTGAAAAAAAAAAATAGCATGCATTTTGACACTACTTGAAATGTGTACCACCCAGGTTTATTTCTTTTCCTAAAAATGATGTTATCATTTGTTTTTTGGGGAAAAAAAGATGGTAAGGGAATTAATTTGACTCCAAATGTGAAATAATATTTAAGGACATAGATATGTGTACCTGTAATATATTAGCATGCCTTCATCGTGTCTAGTAATGATAAATCATGTATTGTTCTTTAAAATTTTAATCAACTGACGTGCTGGCTTTTTTTTTTTTAAACCTGTATGTATTTACAAACTGCAAGTTACTCACTTCTCGTAAGTCCATGTATTAACAGGATGATCGTGCAAGAAACCCAGCTGTTTAAATAAATTCTGTTCTGCTTTAAAGGTTTTGCCCTTTGGGGGGAATGTCATTTAAGTATTGAGTGGCAGTGACCAGCTAACAATAGTTAAAATGAAAATAAATCTTCCTAAAACTTAGTTCCTTATTTTCTTGAACAAGATACTAACCCATAAAAAATAAACATTATTTATTGAGCCACATTTGTATCAAGTGAACCTTTGTAAATTGAGACGAGAAAATATGAACTTGTGTGTCCCAAATACTTTGGTTTGTTAGCAGAACAGAGAGAGAGAGCTATTTGATACGTAGAAACTGAAGAAAATAACGTTCGTGATTCTGGAGAGAGAGTCTTTCAGATTTGTGCAGACCCAGGGAGGTGATCATATTAGAATTAACACAAAAATATTTGTGTCACTTGGCACCTTGGCTTAAGGGATAATTTAATGACACCAGCTATTAATGCTGACTTACATTTCTGCTCCGGCCAGCCTTCTTACGATCTTGTTTATTTCCAGAAATCACATTCGTGACAGTTCTAATAGGCCATTCAACAGTGAACGTTTTCTCATTTCGCTGAAAATATTTCAGGTTTCAAAAACCCAGCAAGGAAAAGCACTTTCAGACTTCACGTATATGAATAAACTTGTTTGGTGCAAGACTTTTGTAGAAAGTGAACTCAGCCAGACTCTGCCTAATTTCAGCCTCCAGTATTTTTATGTTTCCATTTGCCGACCAGGCTGCCGGGACCTGAGTCGATGCAAAGGTGATTGCGTCTTTGTTCTGGGCTCTTACTGTTTTAATCTTTACTTCTTAAATACTTTTTTTTATACTTTATTCTCTACTGTTTTATTTTGGCAGAAGGGTGGAAAGTGGCCTGTGTTGCCCGCGGGCAGGACAGGCCGCACGAATCACTGGCCAGGAGGGGAGGCGCGCCGTCGCAGGGTCTGGGTCCTGTGTTTGTAAACTTTCCACTTTGTGTTTTTTGAGAAAGTCGCGTCTGATCTCTGCCAGCAGAGGTGGGGAGGCGTATTTACTTCCCTCTGAACAGCTGAATGCAGTCGGAGCTCTTACTTTGTGTTGTGTTTTAGTTAAAAGGTAAAAGAAAAGAGAAAAAAGACACCCAAACAAACCAGAAGACGCATTTAGCACCCAGTCTTGGGCTGTGAATGGACAGAGCCGCCAGTGGGGGGATAAAGCCCACGGGACACAATGCATTTACTGCCTCCTCGTTCCCTCCCGTGAAGTTCTCTCAGAAGGAGAGGAGGACTCGTGGGGATTCCATTCAGGGGTCAGCGAACATGTTTAAGCTGCATGTCAGGAGAAAGAAGGCTGAGATCCTTTGTGCAAACAAGTGCCAGAAGCGCAAATCCCTGCCTGTCTCTCAGAAATGCTCAGCCCGAGGTGTCTGAGCGGTCTGGAGAAACGAGCCTTGGACACCGCCTTTCTCAGTGGCCCTGCCGTGGCCGCCTCTGAGGTGTCCAGCGCGAGCTGCGCCAGGGCCCCGACATTCCACGCTGCCCCTCCTCAAGAGAGGGTCTGGGCCCGCAGGTGCGCTCCAGGCCGTGGTCGGGCACATTCCCAGCGGGAGCTCGTTCGCAGAGCGGAATCTCTTGGATCCCTGGCCTCGTGGCTCAGACAACAGCGTCCCCAGCCCAGACGGGCTCAGACAGCAGTGCCTCGGGCTGGTCAGGGGCTCTGACAGCAGCGCTGTGCTGCCGCTCCATGCTGATGGGTCTCACTGGCCACCCTGGTGCCCTGCTTTCTTGGAGCCCTAATCTTGGATGTTCAGTCATTTAGCAAATTCCTGCATTTGGTTTGCAGTTGACCGTCCCCCCGCCTAGAATCTAAGCATTGGGATTGTTGCCGATGTAGGACAGGGTGGTGGTAGTCCAGAGGTGGCCACGTGCTGGGCAGGGCCTGGGACAGCCGGGTGCTGCCTGCCAGGGTAGGCACTGCGACGGCCCTCATCTGACAGTTGAGGAAGCTGAGTCCCGGGGAGGCCGAGTGGGACCCTCGAGGCATCACAGCTGCTGTGCTCTCAAATCCAGGCCAGTGGGTCACAGATCGCACATTGTGCAGCAAGGCCTGTGTGCTGTGCTAGGTCAGTGCTTGTCGAGGGAGGTGTGACGCCTGGGGCAGGACATCAGGGCTCATGCGGGGCTCTGCCCTCCCTCGCTGCTGGCCCGTGGTAGATTCCTTGGACCCCTGAGCCTTGGTGTCCTCCTGTGTAAAATGGGGCTGGCAATCTTCCTTTTTCAGGTTGTGCAGATTTGGGACTGTGGCCCATAGAATGTGCTGGACGAAGGATCACGTCACAACCGTCCCTGGGCCAGTCCCTGGAGCCCCGAAATAAATGGGCAGAGGGGCTGCCTGGCATCACGTCCTGGCCACAAAACCAGCCGGGCACCCTGGGTGAGTCTCTTGAACTTGAACGTGCACTGTGCCAGTGCCTTGTGGTGGGAAGCGTGGCCCATAGACCATCGGTGTCGGCACTGCCTGGGAGCTGGTTAGAAATGCAGAGTCTCAGGTGCCACCCAGACCTCCCAAATCAGAGCCTGGGTTTGTGTGCTCTGCCCTGGCCGCTAGAGAACACAGCCCCGGAGCCCACAGGGGACAGAGGGCAGGTGCCCCGTAGCTGGCTCTCTGGGAGCCCTCAGGGCCCTCCCTCTTCAGCTCTTGCCTGTCCCTGCCCTGAGAGGCTGCCCTGCACAGGCTCCTGTGTCCCTGCTTTTGGCGGGTCTGGGAGGCACTGGGGGGAGGCGGGAGGGGGGAGGGGGGAGGAGCCGCAGTGCATTCAGCCCGTGGTGCTGCTTGCAGGGACAGGCCCTCGCCCGCCCCGACCCCTCCCGCCCTGCAGCCCAGGGATGCTCGCGGCTCCCTGCGCCTGC